ACCCCCAACTGCATTGTCTGTATTTCTTTGAGCTAAGGTTTAACCAGATTGGTGTGACCTTGAAGTCCTCCCTCTTTCCTTAATAGATTTGAATTCTACTTCTGACTTGTTGCAGACACAGTGTGCATTACATGTTTAATGTAGAAATAAAAAACACTTGACAAAAAGCCTTTTAAAATATTTGCTAAATAATAATTTCAATAATTTGCATTTCTCTACAGCACAGCCGTCTTTTAGGTTCCTGATTTGCAAGATATCTTACTCTTTGTAAGTTGCCCAAGTCCTCTTTTGTTGAAACCAAGCATAGGACAGAAATGAAAATAAATTATAAAGGTGTACTCTTGGAATCAGGAATGAAGACTGTCCAAAGACTGACCTTCAGTTTTGAGCTTTGAAGTTCAAAAGTGGACAGGTGGAAATATTGTGTTCTTCATTGCCCTTTGGTGCGAGATATATTCTAGGTTGCAGAGTATGTGCCAACAGCAGCAAAATTATCGCCCTCCTCCTGCTACTGTAGTAAGTCAGCAATGGCCCTTCTGTGGTCAGAATGGCAAATTCAGCAGCAACTATTCGACAGGGATTTACAGAAACTTCCCCATGGCTGTTAGGAATCTTATTCAGCAGTGTCTTTGAAAACCCGATTCTGTGCAGAATTAACTATGTAGAAATGACCTCAGTTGTGATAAAAGGTATTTTAAACAAATCTAATTTGTAATTTCACTGAATGTGTGTTTTGCATTTAACGCCACAAAGTCTGGTAGATACCTACACATGTATTTTGCATTCATAAGTTTTACAGTGGTTCAGAATTTTTTTTCCGTATTAAAATTTTTAAAAATCCTGTCTTTATAGAGTCAGTTAACCATACAAAGCCACTATACATCACTTAGGTTTGTGATGAAAGAATGGAATTGCAGCTGTGTGAGTACTAGAATACCCAAACATGAATTAGACTCACAAGCATTTGGCAATAGTTCAGAAAAGGAGCTTAATCTGGTTTCATCTGAGACTGCTTTTCTCTGTTCTGCAGCATCCCCCCAAGATGTTGTGTCTGATACCAGATCACAACGTAATGGGAGTGACGCAGAATCGAGAAAGCCCTGAGAAACCAGGGGCACATTTGCTTTTCTCCAGAGATTTTCTTTCTCCTACTTCTTTTTTCCCTCTCCCACGTTCCAACTTTGAAATTCAAGGTCATTCACCTATTAGATGCATTAATTATAAGCCAAAAAAGCAGTATTCATCGTACTGTGATCTCAGTCATATCTATAATTAAGTGTAAATATAATCTTCCCTTTTAGAAATGTACCACCCACCCATTACATTTAAAGTGCTGACTGAAATGAAATAATAGTTCAGAGCAAGATGATTTTAGTTTAACAAGAAAAAAGTTGATAATTTAAGCTTCAAGCAGGGAGTTCTATTTTTGATTACCATTCAGTTATAAATCTAATTTGAGATATATGCTGCTTTTCTGTTACTCAAGTTTAATTCATGGTTTGCTTTCTTGGTTGTATAAGCAGAGTTCAGTGGTTGATCAAGGTTGTTAAGAAGCTCCCCCGAAACGGAATGGGGGCAGAGTTGAGAATGTGTTCGAAAGACATTCTGAGACCCATATCTGATGTAAAACAAACAAATCTGATGTAAAACAAACAACCGAATTTTAATTGAAAAAGACACTTAGAGAGTGCTGTATTTGGGGATTTGAATGGCCAAGTTAGGAATGGCCATTTGCAGGGGAATTGGCTACAGAGGGTGAACCCCAAAACATTGCAACCTGGTTGACAAAGTCGGTGTGTTTTATTCGTTGGTTATGGTATTGTAAGTCTTTTGGGAAAAAAAATAGGAGCGAGTAAGGGGAAGGGCTTGTCTCATCACACTGTGGACAGTTAAGTAAAATGCTAAACTATGGGTTTAAGATTTACAGGTTAGCTCTGCCAGATGCCACATCTGCCTCCAGTGTTTCCTGGCAGATTCGGGCAGCCTATTACTGGGACCCAGCATAACCGCAGAACATGAGCTTGCACAATGTGAAAAACCTAAAACCATTATAATCCTGTTTAAGGCTAGGATGAATTTGCCCATTTGAAAGCATACGTAGTTTTCAAGCTTAACTTTTATCAAGCATAAACTTGTCTTTAGATATATATATAATATATATATACACACACACACATATATGCAGGTAAATTCATAATATAAATGAATACCTTATCCATTTTGTGCAAAATTTAATTTAAATCACACGCTGTTCACTTTTTAAAATTCGTAAACTCAGATTTTTCAGCCAGTGGAAAATTTATCTTTCTCATCGCTACAGAGAGTTAAGTATGTGACGTAAAGGCCAAACAATAGTAAATGGTCATTGTTCACTTTATAAGTATACTCTATAATAAGAACACATATATTTTTATCTTCATTTTCCCTAAGGAGGTGTTTAGGGCCCCCTTAAATGTGAGGAAATGTTTATTTTGTTGCTTTAGAAGAATGATTCTATTGTCCAAGGGAGAAAGAAATAGGAACAAACAGGTCTAAGGAGAAAGAAACAGGAATGTGCTTTGTGAAAAAAATAAAGATTAACAGGAACCACTAAAGGTTTGTAAGTGCTATCTGGTCCTAGTACTATGTTACTGCACATAGTCCTTGCGCCTGCATATATAAGAGTTAGATGTGTGATTTATTATGACTAGCCCATGAAATTATTTTCTTTTAAATTAACAACAGTAAGGTCAACCACAGCCTGTAGCTGTTTTGTAGTTATCATTTTATATTTTTCACAGCTCTATTGTGAATGCTGCTAAAAGACAGTGTAGCAAGTGTGTGTTTTTAGATTGACCCCTTGAATGCATTTAATTTCTTGAGAGTGAAAACCTTTGCCACCAGGACCAAGAAGAATTAACCAGTGGTTAAACTCATTTAAAAACACAAGCAAGCATTTCAACGTATTTGCTCAGCCCTTTTCTGAATATTTTATATACTTCTAGAAAAAGGAAAATGAAGAAATAGGGATGATTTGTGTCTAGAATATGAAGTTATTTTCAAACTCCTTTCCAATGAAATGAAGACTCATTCGTGGATTTACCAAACTGTAAGGAGGTTGTAATTTCAAATCATTCACAGCTTTATTGATGGAAATTTCGAAGAAAACTTGGACACAGACTTCACTATAACTTTCTTTGTTAATAAGAAATGCCAAGAGTGAAATTTATGTTGAAATTCAAACATTTTTGAATGCCACTCCTAAATGATGAATTATTTGTTACTAGATTTCTGATTTATACAAAACTTTACTATAATAAGCCTTATGTTTTGGTTTGCATTGTGTAGTGTTTTAATATGTCTCTTAGGTTCAAAAGAGGCAATAGCTGAGCATATAGATGTCAGATTTTTATCTGATAAATCTGGTTTTATCAGGTATTTATGTGGTAAACATTAAGATACTAGCAATGAGTTTATTACTCAAAATGTGCTTTCAATCTGAAATCTCATCCTTGAAGTTGTATTTTGAAGTAATGTTTATTACATATCTCTTGAAAAAGTCTTGAGCTGGAATCAGTAAAGGCGAGCTTGTCAGCAGCTGATTAGTCCTTTATATATGACTCATCCAACACTCAGAAAAACCCCTTGGAATAGAGAGGCTCTCTTTATGATATTTAGCTATATGGCAGTGGAAAGGGGAGGTTTGAATTTTTGATTTTCCAGCTTATGGGTCATATTTGACCAACTGCTTTCACTAGAAGACATGCCACTTTGTTGAGCTATTTAGGAATCAAAAAGACTGTCTTAATTTAAAACAAGGACGCTTTGTTTTAGTTGGTGACTGCCTTGTGAAATTTTTCAGTTCTCAGCGGGTTAACCAGGGAACAGGGGCAGAGTCATAATTGGCCTATTTAGAGTATTTTGCATGTGAATAGTGTGTTAGTGAAGCATCCCTAAGTCTGTTGTGAGTGACATGGTGATTAGAATTTAGATTAGGGAAAACACATTCTGTACTTTATCAAGGACAGTAATTAGTTCAGTCAGTAAAAGTTGATTACAAGTAACGATAAAGTTAGATTTTTAGTACTTAATTTTAAAATTTCTTTATTAAACAGTAAATTTGTTCTTAATATAAATGGTACTATCTACTCTTGTTTTATTGCATATCAGAATAATTAAAAGAACAATGTGCTCAATGCAGAGTATAATCAGACGATTTATGTATTATGGGTAAGTTTCTATGTAGTTTTTAGAAAATGTAATATTATATATAATCTTTCTGATGTCATCATTTTTAAAAGTTTAATGATTGTCACACTGATAGGTTATTGTGGAAGTTTTCTAGTGTTCAGGTAAATGTTCAATCTGTGGGATGTGTCTTAGCTTCCGATAGACCTCAAGAGAGCATTCTGAAGTCCTTTGTGGCTGTTAGCGTGGAATATCTGCTATTTCTGTAATTTTGAGAGTTAGTGTGAGGATTTGAATTTCCTCTTGTTTCAGTTGGCATTTTCTCTTCTGTGGGTGCTATGACAGTTCGTGGAGAATCATGATATGCAGTACAGAGAGGCAGGGTTCTCAGTCGAGTTCATAGGCTACACTCACTCCCAGTGCGTGCAGCCAGGGGAAGTTGTGTGCGTTCACAAAATGAGATTCTTCTTGTTAAGGAAGGGGATGAATAGTTCCCAGATAAGAGCCTAAGTCTAGAGAAAGGAAACATTAGTCTTATATAAATGCCATTTGTTTTGTGAAATTAAAACGTGAGTCATCTTAAAAAACTTAAAAAAATATTGTTTAAAGGGAATCATCTACTTTCCTTCTAAAAGTAAAGAATTAAAAATTCACAAACTTTGTGATAGCTTCTTAGACTGCCTTTCTTTTGAGTTTTTGTTTTGTTTTAACTGTCTCAGCTTAGCAGATGCCATTTGCTTTATTGCATTGGTTTAAGTGCTAACAATCAGTTGGGAGGTGGTGAAAGTAAAAAATTAACCTTATATGTTTGTTTTCCCTTTTTAACCTTTTAGCAGAGTCTCCTTGGAGGTGACATGGATATGGGCAACCCAGGAACCCTTTCGCCCACCAAACCTGGTTCCCAGTACTATCAGTATTCTAGCAATAATCCCCGAAGGAGGCCTCTTCACAGTAGTGCCATGGGTAAGGTATTCCTTTGTTTGAATGCCTGAGGGATGATTATGCCTTTTTCTTTTTTTCTTTCTTTCTTTAAAATATCGCCCCCTCATCCTACCTCGCACCCCCAAAAAACCATAAAATTTGGCTCAGTTGTCATCCTGGAGACTTCACCCCAGTACACTGAGTAGGTATGTTAACAACTTATGGTAGCAGAACTTTTTTGGTGTCTGCTTATTTCTAGTTTTCTCTTGGCTGCACCCATAAGGAAGCTTTTAAAAGATCAAAGTAGCAAAAAGTTAAATGTCTTCATTTTTAAGAACAAGGCAGCATTTGATTTCTGCTAGTATCAGATGTGATCATGGTAACTACAGTTTGCTAAGGTAATGATTTAAGGAAATGTGGTATCATCTAGAAGTCTTTGTGGTTTAATCTATCTTAGTTAGGAAAATGGGCATTTGGGAGCTGACAGCATCTTCATTTTCTTTCAGAGGTACAGACAAAGAAAGTTCGAAAAGTTCCTCCAGGTTTGCCATCTTCAGTAAGTACTGCTTGTTTCTGCTTTGTATATTGCTTACTTTGTTCTGTTTTGTATCGATGGGAAGGAGATAGAAGTAAATGAGTTTCCATGCGCCCAGAGCAGCATGTTTATCTAGAAGGTGGATGAGGTAGAAATGACCTGCACATCCAGCCACCTGACCCACATTGGAGTGATTAATTTCTCCTCCTGGAAGACTGGGTGGTTATGTTGATATTCAGCAGGTTAAGCTCTAAAGAGAGCCTTGAAAAGGTGCCTGAAGTTTGAGGAGTTTTACCTGTACAGGGCTTTCAAGAGAATGAGTATTAGTTTCATGTGTTGGTTAAATTCTTTGTCAGTATTATGATGATTTATGGATTTGCATGCGAAAGGAGATTTGTGGAGAGGATTTAGGAAAAATTTACATGGGTTTCAGCCCAGAGTGCAGGAAGAATGTCTCTATTTTCTGGAGAGGTTGCTGAATAAAGGCTGCAAAGGTAGCTGCATCAGTAGCCATTTGTGTCTTTACTACCAGGTGACAACTAGAAGTCAGCTGTAACCAAGAGCATTCTGGGTCTTTTTAATAGCTGGAGCTCTATGCAGAAGTTGCTAATATCCCCCACCCGCCCTCAGGTCCCCAGCACAGCAAAAGCTGGTTGTAATCACAACTTAATACATGATATCATATTTTGAATTCTTACATTCCTAGAGAATTGTATTTAATTTTGTTTAGGACTAGTCCATTTCTGGTAATTTTCTCCTTACATAAAATGAAAACATAGTTTCCTCTCTTCTTTCTCTGTTTCTTTATCCTTCCTCTTTTTTTCATTCTTCCTTCCTGTTATATAAAGTTTTGATTTAATTCTGTAGAGTACTAGTATTCTTTGAAAAGAATGCTAATGAACTTTATTATGTTTTTATACTTTAATATAAAATCATATTTAGATTTCTTAAAGTATATTACCAATCAATGCTTGCATATTAGTTTCATTTCCTTTTTGATGTATTAGAAGAATAATAGGTTTTGCAAATGTGCTAAGATTAGATTAACCCAAACACCTGTGTATTTGACTTGATTTCAGTTCAGCTCATCCGAACAATTATTAAATGAATGTATCAGAATAAGTCTTATCAGGAAAAAGAGTAAATTTTGTGTGCTGATTATCATAGAGTTGGTGATGTTGAAGAAGCATCACAAAATTATTCATAAATATAGAAAAATATTGTGTAAATAAGATTGCCAATGGTGTATAAAGTAGTCACTTTCAACTATCAATACATCACTTAAAATTGTACTCAGTTGTTTATTCTTTGAATTTCTATGTTGTATTGCAATTGACTGATATGCCCAAAGGATTTTATCGCATATTTTAAGCTTGAAGTCAGGGGTGGATTTAATGTTGATGAAACTTTAGCTTTTAATAGGTTTTATGACAACTTCAAATGATATAGTCCTAACAGCTGTTTACATTTTAAACATGCCTGAACTTAATATGGACAATATTAAATGCATTTAGTGGACCTTTGAATGTTCTGAAACAATAGAATAACTATCCTATAAAAGCCATAAAAAACTTAAAGCTATCCTACCCTCTTTATGCCTCGTATTAAAATTAACTTGTTTTATCCAGTGCTAAGATTAGGTAGAAATCTAGACAGTTTCTAAGGAGTGCATTGGTGTGGCATCGGATGGCATGCATATGCTTAATCATTGTCAACAGCAGTTTTCATAATTCGTTGTAAATGTTTAAGTATTTCCCTATAGCTAACTGGCCCCTTTAGAAAATTTTACTGGTACAGTGTTTTCTTTGCTGTTAAGACAATTTAGGTGTTGCTGCTAGGCTGTGATACATTCAGAAATATAAAAATGCTTTACCTTTCTTTCCCAATAAACAAAACTTGGGAATTAGGAATTTAGTTTTATTCCATTTAATTTTTGGTTTTCATTGGTCAGTTTAGGATTTACTCTTCTTAGGAGTTTTATCTTGACTAAATGTTTTCATGGTCCTTATGAAACATTTTGATGAATAGCCTTTTTTTCTGAAATATGAGGAAGAAAATACAATTAAAAATGAAATTTTTATCCCTATTTTTTGAGCAAGAAGAACATGTTTAGGTAATTTTATAATTTAGTCATCCATTTACTCATTACCTAAAAAAACTCAGCTCTATTTTCATGGCAATTTAACTTAGTTTATGTAAGCTTTGTTGTAAATATCTATTGCTTATTACTTACAGCAAGATCCACATGGCTTACCACCACACAAAATATTTATTTTAACTTGATTCCAAAAAAGGTCTGCAGTAGACACAGTCAGACCTTTCCCCCAGCAGATCTGTATTTCTATATTTTTAGACCTCTACCATGCTTTTTTTTTAAAGCTCAAATACAGTTATGACTATTTGATAAGAGATACTTCTTAAATTTGTTTCAGTATGTATGAGTATTTGTATAACAGATACTAAAAGATTAGAGATAATAAAAGATTTCCTTTGGAGTGATTATGACTACATAAAGACACTTATATGTTTTCTTTGATACATATTTACCATGACAAATAGTAATATATCTGTCACAATCTGTTGTGGCAACTCACTTTCCCCCCCATTTTGAAATGGGCCCTCTCTTTCCCTTATGATAAAAGGAAGAAAACTTAAACGGTGACACTGCATCATCAGGTATTATTTGTGACATGCCTGTGGTGCAGAGACTGGACTTCTGTTCCCATTAGGCTGGCTCTTCCTCCCAGGCTATCAGGAGAGAGAGGGGATTGCCTGGCCCTGTTTTGAAAACACTGCAGCATCTGTGGGAGAGAGAAAACATAGGCCTGGCCCGACATCATGCCATGGATCTGGCAAGATCCACGAATGTGTGTTTGTACTGTGTGCTGCATCCAGAGACTTTACATCACTGTGGAAGGATGACACGATGGTGGGATAACAGTAGACCCACAAGGCAGGGTCTACAGGACAAGCACAGTGTGTAGGGGGGAAGACTGTCCCTCTAGTGCACATAGACCAGTACTTGCTAGGGAGATTTTTTTTTTTTAAAGGAAAGCCTGTGTGAAAGACAGCTATCTAATTGCCCACGAGAGCTCTGCTTATTACCGCAGTACATTTTTATCTTTTCGGTTCATATTTTAGTATGTTGCTCTTTTTAGTCACGTCCCAATTTCTCGTAGCCCTCATTTTTTGCGAAGACCTTAGTAATAAAATGTTGTCTTTGTTGATGTCAGAATTTATTTTGCATGTCTAAGCTCTTGAATCTACATGAGAACATCTTGTTTTGCTAGATTTCTACATTTTGGTTTTCCGTTTCAAACCATATTTCATCTTAAACTCAATATTTTGCAACTTTACTGCTCATTTCAACAAATTTGTTTTATATAGCCTAATAATCATACACATTGAATCATGAATTCATACAGAGAAAAAAGGACTATAGTAAATTAAAGTTTTGGGAAAAAAGGATTCATGATTCTTGAAAGAAATTAACATGAAAGTACTAAAATCTAGAAAGCAGCAAAAAATTTTACATTGTGCTGTTTTAAGATACTTTCATCAAACACACAAACAAAACAAAGGCATTACTTTTGGAAACTTTATTCTGCCCACCAACATGTAAACCTGTCAAACCTCTATTTTAGAATTTGAAGTATTTCAGAATTATATACATTTTATCAGAAACTGTTAACAACTACAAACTTTCTACTTCAAACTTTGGTGGAATTTGTCTCTACTTGTAATCTGATTTGAAACTTTAATGATGGTCTCACCATGACCCCAGCTGGAATCTCTTGAACATCAGATTTTTCTGAAAACAGAATGTTTTATCCTTAGAAATGGTTTATGATCTCTCATCTCTGGTGATCTTTCCTAAAACTGTACTTTTCAGTAAAGTCTTTTTTCTACGTTAAATTACAGAGGGGTTTTGTGTATGTTTTTGTTTTAAAACTTAGGAAGACCTGGCAAAACTTTAAGTGGTCAGAGATGATTTGGGACACATGGATGCTAAGATAAACAATTTCTACTATTATAAAGATTCTAAAATAAGATTTGGACACTTCAAGAATATTTGTGACATAAGTTAATCAATAGGTAGGTTTGAAAAATAAAAACAATGTGTATTAGATACTAGGTTCACCAATTTTCATAAGGAAAGAATTCTTAAATAAAATGAAATATTTAAGTCTGGATTAGAGTTTCCTTTACAGAAGTGATTATTAGGGGTATCAAGAAAAATGAGTAATGCTAATGGCCTTAAATGCCCTACATATTTTGTGTTATATAAAAACTTTCATATTTGAAGATTTCAAACATGATATTGAATCCATATCTTGAGCTATTTAGGGAAAACCCCCTTTTTCCCAAGTGCTTGAAGAAATCACAAACAATTTAAAAGAGATATTGGTAAATTGTTTTTTCCTTATTAGCGGGCTGGAAATTATGTATGATTTTAAAAATCAGTACTGAACTCAGAAATATATAATTTCCTACATCACTTTTGAAACTGATCATAGGGAAATCAGAACAATGCTTTTTCATGTCAACAAATTTTAACAAGTAATAATACAATTTTCTTTAATATGAAAGTTTTATTGAAATACAATATCCATCACAAGGGAACTAAATATCAGCCATCTGGGCTCTATCCTTTTTAGGAAAGTCTAGAAGTAGCTGATTGCGTGATAAGATGTAAAAAGAGGAAGCTCTTCAAGGTTCATCCCTGCAGATAGATACTTTGTGAAGAAGTATAACTGCAAGTGTTTAAAATATTAAGATAGCTCTTAGTATTCACTTTTAAACTTAGTGTACCCATTTTCTAATTAAAGATATTGGAATATAAGGTTTGGATATTAAAATTGTGCTTATTAATTAATGTTTAGGCAAGAAGGAGGTTAAGAGTGGCACAATTAAGTCATCTCAAATAGGACAAAACTGTTCACACAATTTACACGGCATGTATAACATGACAATGGGCAACAGTGAAAGCTGAGAAAATATTCATGACAAAGAAAGTTTTT